TATTGTCTACTATCATCAATAACGAGACGCGCACGGCCAGAAACCAACCTTTTTACATCCAAACCGAGATCCTTCGCCACATCTCCGACAAACAATCCTGGTCTCATTTCCTCTGGAATCGAATAACGAATCTGCCCGGTCACGGTGTTCAGCACGAATAAAAGGAAAATGGAGAATCCTGCTTGCCATTTTACACACCGCCTCAACTGGAGTCCTTTGTTATCCTGCATCCTGCAAATGTAGTAATCCAAGCAAAATTCAGTCATACACGTCCAGTTTTCAAATATTCGAGCATTTAAAAAACTCTCTTCAGTATTGTTAAGAAGATTCCAAACCGAGCCCTTCTAATTTACAAACAACAGCTCGACGTCTTTTCTCTATGCTGTTTGACGCAATGCCTTCTATACGCAGTTGTTTTGCTTTGCTCACTGTCGTCTCCCTGGGCAACAGCACCTCTCACAGTCAATGAGCAGCACAACAGCAGAGCTGGACTGTCCAGCATAAAAGAAGAAAAAAAGTGAGCTACACTCTCTGAAATAAAGGTACAAAGATGCCCCTGGGGTGGTGCCTTATCAAAAAGTACACATTTGTACATAAATGGTTGATAATACCTGACGCCCCAGTGACAGCTTTTGTACCTTTATTTCTGGTTCTGTTGGTTGTCATTGCTGATCAGAAACTCAATAGCGAGTAGTTGGTGCATCAAAAAATCTTTTTTAATTGTGATTATCTCAGTGCAGGAATGGAGACATGAAATCAAATTACAATGCAGAATTACAGAAAGTGAATCCAACCAGAGTTTACCAATTACAGAATAACCACCAACCAATAACACCATTTACTCTATACTATAGCGTTTAACAAGATTTTAGGTGCATCGTGCATCTAGCCCTGTACATTACACTAAAACCTCTTATTTAATCAAAATAATGGAATGTGTAAGATCAAGCCAGTCAGATGTGATTCTAGTGTCTAAGCTAGCAGATGGCCTACATTTGAAAGGATAAAAATAAGTGGAGTGTGATCTCCAAAACAGACCCAGACACAACATTGTGAAGACAGATCTGATTGTCAAAGCCTTGTAGCAATCAAAAATAAATAAATAAATAAATTCATTAACACTATACAATAAGGTTGACTCTGTCAACATTAGTTCATATACTGTATACATACAGTGGTGGCCAAAATTGTTAGAACACTTGGCATATTTAAGAGGTTTCAGTTGTTTTTGTTGAATTGGCCATTACAATACCCATAAAACGAACTACCTGTGACAGAAGGAATCTGCTGGAACATTGAAAATGATGGACTGGCCCCCCTTCAAAGTCCGGACCTCAACCCCATCGAGCAAAATTGGGGTGAGTTGGAAAATAAAGAGGACAGATCTATTCTACAGGAAAAAGCCTTTGGCTTGAGTTGCAGAAGGCATGGGATAACATTAGTGTTTAAGTTCTCAGGAAATACAGTATATTGACACTATATCAGAGAAATGTGCTGCTGTAATTGCTGCAAGTGGTGGACATACCAAACATTAAAGTTAAAAGTGGATAAATATTTGGAGGCAAAAAAATATTTTCAATATTTTCAGATCTGTCGGGTGTTCTCACAATTTTGGCAATCAATATATATATTTATTTGTGTGTGTGTCTGTGTATCTGTCTATCTATCTATCTATCTATATACAGTATCTATATATCTACATAGATAGATAGATCTAAAAAATGCTGTAAAAACTGTCTTTTATTGTTAGTTCATTGTATCCAATGCATTAACGAACTTAGCCTTACTAAAGTGTTACCAGAAACGAGATGTGTGTTATTGTGCCGGTATGTGGTTTTGGACATTACAGTTGATTTGAACACTTCAGCTGTGTAGATGCATAAAACATGAGCAGCACTACAGCTGCCACATAGTCATACATACTCAGTGTGATGGGATTGCATTATTCAGACTCTGTGTCCCATGATGCATTTTAATGCTGTAAAAGTGGGCCAGAGCCCAGCCTTAAAGCATAGTGACACACTGCTGCAGCAGGAGAGGAGAGCCAGAGACCTATATAGGGCACCCCCGCACCACGCCACCCCACACACTCACTCATGCAGTAAGATGATGCAGTGTCTCTGACACAGTTTTAGTGAACCACCACAAGATGGAGCACAGCACATACTGTATGATTACATTCAGTTACTGAACTGAACATAACTAAACAGTTCATAAGAACAATGAAAATTTAAATGACAAAGAAAGAGAAAGAAAAAGACAGTGTGCAAGAAAGTAAAAAGAGCTTTCTGTGAATTGCCAACTGTATTTTATTTAACAATAGCAGTAAATAAAATGTTTCTTACCTAAATGGAGATTGATTCGTTTCCATTCATTAGGATGGACAGCAGGTCGTGGAGGGAAGAAAAGAGAAGAGAAAATAATAAAAAAACGAAATTTACATTTCCTGAAGAAAATGTGTTTTGTTCGAAGCACTTACACTGTACGCAATAGTCATACTGATGCTTTCTTTGGCAAACACCATTAATTGAAAATAAATAAACATAATAAATATAACAGATAAATGAGAGACAAAAAAAAAAAAAATCACACACCAAAGTGCACATAAAACAGGTATAAAATACATCTTAAACCAGAACTCTGACAACTGTGACATACCAACTGTAAGAATGGTGTCATCATGATCTCTATTTTGATCAAAACAGTGTGCACTGAGCAACACAGGAGTATGTGGGGCAGGTGAGGAGACACACATTTCTGCCTCTGTCCTTAAATCCCTTCAATAGCTTTTCATGAAGTCTCTGCCTTGTGTGCAAATCTACTAGCGTGACAATCAAATTGGATTTCAAAGCAAAACTGGATTTTACTATGGTCTGTGTATGTTTTAATATTTTGCAGTCCATTTTCTCTCACCCTCATACACAGAGGGCCCTTCTCACATGTGCAGCAGTGTACAGCAGAAGTAGGCCTGCCTAAAGCAACAATTGAACCACACATGGGTGAACATTAAATAGCACACAGTGGCTGGCTGGGAAATGTACAGCATTCTGTGGATACAGATCTGCAATACAGACTCATATACATAGCATTTAACTACATGCATATATTCCATATAATTTGCTTTTCAGGGTTGTTCATTCATAACTGGCACTTATAACAACTACTGATAGGCCAAAATCCACATTAAATTAATAAAACACCTTTGCTGGGGATTTTAAGCAGTATATTAACCATCACCAGATCTGATGCTAATTGAATCCATGCTAATGTCACCTGAAAATCCCTAAATGAAGCTCAGAATGACACTCGGGTGAAATAATTTTGAAATTCTTCACAGTCTCTCTTTTGCCTTATAATGGTTTAATGTATGCTTATGTGTCGTTTATGGTCCAGTTAAATGCATGACGTGTTACACATTGCAGATGAGCTCAGTGCACAAATGCACAAACATCTGGCTGTTTAGAGAAAACATTACTATCCATTTGGACTGTAGACATGCAGACCCGGCAAAAAACCAATATACAGTTTACACGTGACAAGACTAAATCATCCTTTATCCTATATAAGAAGCTTAAATCATGAGCCTGGAGTCGCAAAGTTATGGTTAGATATTTGAGAATGATTCAAATAGCAATAAACTTCTCATTTTTATATAATAATGACTATTTTATGGCAAATTATCTTAGTGCCAAATGTAATTTAAACAATGAAATGAAATGTTTTTTTTTTTTCCTGCATTAGACTTTTCACACTATGCTTAACTCTAACCTAGACAATTTTTACTCTTGGGTTTTGCATGATTTCACACTAGTAATTTTTAAACTTTGCAACAAGAATCCCTGCTTTAGAGCGAAACTGATGCTAACACCAATGTATTACTAACTGAAGGCAGGTATGACGAGTGTAACTCTAGACTAGACTTTAAAGTAATCATTCAAATTTGAACGACTTGAAGGAAAAATGCCATATTACAATCTTATGCTACCTGGACTGAAAGATAAGCATATGCATAAACACATCCTGACATTGCACTGCTTATTTAAAGAGATAACATATCTGAGCCAAGACAAAAGAAAAATCTTTTATACTGGAACACTGGGAAGAATGTTGAATGTTGCATGTAGTACTTCCTTATTTCCCATTTAAAGAAGGCACTCAGAGTGTGCCCCTTTTGATAAACTAATTTTATAACATAACTCCTTTTCTAGAACTGAAAGTCACATTATAAAGCACATACTGCACATAAACATCACTATTCAGAGTAAATGTTAAAATAAATAGTAAAAATTGATCTCTGTAGAAATAAGTACATGCATGGTTCATGTTATACTATGGTTCAAAGGATATATTTATTATTTGAAATTTAAGTTTAAAGTCACCAGTAACAAACTGCATACAAGACGGAATTGTACAATAACAGATAAGAAAGGAGACAGCATGATACAACAGCTTATCCATAAACCCCCAAAAAAGATCTAGAGTACAGAAAGAGAATTGAAGATGAAATCATGATACATGTGATTAAAAGAGATAAAAGAGTGCTCATGTGAAAGAACGTAAAGTAAACATCCAAACAAATTGAAATACTATTGATTTCTAAATAAAGTGACTAAATCTCCTTGCAAACTGTAGACACACACACACACTTAGAGCAGATCAACATAAAATAAAAAGATATTTTTAGAGTTTGTTTACAAGTTGTGTAAAAAATCGTCACATGCAAAATTAAAGCAGAAAAGAACATACAACATTAAAGTGAGGGACTCACTGAAGACGTGCATTATAATAACGAACATTTGTCATTTGTTTGATTAAAGGATTTTCAGTCCAATTTGTTGATAAGGACTTTCTGTATGATTGTCAGGGTCAAACCATCTGGGTTAGAGTTTATGTGGCACTAATAGCTTTGCACGTGTGGCGCTGTGGCCACCCACATGCAACGACATCCCTCTCTTATTCAGCATGTCCAAATCAACAAAGTCAGAGCCAAATCTGAAGTCCCCTTTCCATGAGCCTGTGGTTAAGAATGAATTATATCGATCATCTTTCTGCAGAGTATTGAAGCGGCTCACGTCAGAGTAGCCAGGTGGTCCGTAGGTAGGAGGAAAAACGGGTAAGTTTGCAGTTGAACGGTACATGTATCGGTATCTACATAATCTCATATAGACCACAGCAGTGATGAGCACAAGGAAAAGACTGGACATGCCTGCCAGAGCCATTATTAAATATAAAGTAAGGTCACTGGGTCCATGTGATTTATCCGTGCCACGTGCAACCAGTTCATCGATGATAGGCAAGCCGTCTTCTATCATAATATTGACAGTTGCAGTTGCAGACAAAGATTCAAGCCCATTATCAATCACAGAGACTAACAAGGTTTGCTTGATTTCATCATCTTCTGCAAACGGCCTTAGTGTCCTAATTTCTCCACAGTGCAGTCCAATGGAGAACAAATTAGGCTGTGTGGCTTTTACAATTCGATAGGACAGCCATGCATTGTGCCCTGCGTCTGCATCAATCGCAACCACTTTGGTGACCAGATAATCTGCAGGAGCAGCTCGGGGCACAATATCATGTGCAAGGTACCCCATCCAACCGAACTGGGTAAAGAACAACTGGAGCATTGTCGTTCTGATCTGCAATAAAAATCTGGACAGTGCATGTGCTAGTGAACGATGGCCTGCCTTTATCACGTGCCATAACTTGAACATGAAAGTGAGTGGATGATTCGTAATCAAAGGGGCACAGAGTAAATATATCACCAGTTTCTGCATTGATGGAAAGATGAGAGGCTGCATCTTCTGAAAGACAATACAGAATTCTTGCGTTCTGGCCTTCATCTGCATCATCAGCTCTGACCTTAATAACCAGGGTTCCCTGAGGCTGATTCTCTACAAATTTGATGCTGTAGTCACTGTGTCTAAAAATAGGAGGATTATCATTAACGTCTGTGACTGTTATGGCTACAGTTTTACTGCTGAATAAAGGGAGTGTGCCAGTATCCACAGCAGTCACAGTTATGTTATAGTGAGGACACTTTTCCCGGTCTAAAACTCCATCAATCACAAGCATGAAGTAATTCTTTACCTCTGACACAAGTTTAAATGGCACGTCATCAGATATCTTACATGTGACCTGTCCACTGGTGCCAGTATCAAGGTCATAAACGTGCAGTAAAGCCACCATGGTTCCAGGTGAAGCATCTTCTGGCACAGTAGAAGTAGTTGATTTAACAGCAATAACAGGTGAATTGTCATTCACATCTATCACATCTATTATGAGTTTACAGTGAGATGACTGGCCGCCCCAATCTTTGGCTTGCACATCCAGCTCATGAGAACTGGCCTCCTCATAATCCAGTGCAACCATGACCTTTACCTCACCCGTCACATGGTCGACCTCCACAACCCCCCTCGTCTTATCAGGCACGTGACTGAAAGAGTAACTAATTTCCCCATAAATCCCATTGTCTAAATCTGTTGCATTTAATTTAACCAACACAGTGCCTCGAGGTTAATTTTCCTGCGCACTGACTTTGTACACACTTTGACCAAACACAGGAACATTATCATTGGCATCCAACACGTGAATGTGAATTGATGTTGTTCCAGAACGAAAAGGTCGGCCACCATCCACTCCACTTAAGAGTCAGAAAATGATCAGCTTGGTTTTCTCGATCCAAAGGCTTTTTAAGAACCAATTCAGGATATGCATTTCTGTCCACCTGGGTATTCATTTCCAAAGCAAAATATTCATTCTCACTGAGTTGATAATGCTGAACTGAATTAGCTTTCAAGTGGAAAACGCCTCCCCAAGACCGTTGACTCCAGTAGCTCCAGCTCAATCTGACCATTTTCAAACGTCGGACTGTTATCGTTGATGTCCTGGATGTCTAAGAGGAGACTGTAAACTTTGAGCGGATTTTCCAGGAGCAGCTGGAATTGCAGGATGCACGGCGCAGACTGCACACAAAGCTCCTCACGATCCATTCTCTCACTCACCAACAGAGAGCCTGTTTCTGAGCTCAGCTCGCAAAACTGTCGGCTCCCCTCAGCAACAACTCGAGCGTTCCGTCTCACAAGCTCAGTCACATATATCCCCAAATCTCTCGCCACATTGCCAATGACAGAGCCTCGCTGCATCTCCTCTGGAGCTGAATAACACACTTCACCGAGAGAGCCCCACATGCAAATGAAGCAGAAACAAAGCTGAAGCCAGAAATTGGCCCAAACGCATCTTCTCAAACAAATCATGTTGTGAAATATTAATGGCTATATTTAAATGAAAAAGAAAAATAATGACGATCAAAGCACATTCTGAACAGATCCTCAAATAGCTGGGGCAG